ACTAACATCTTAAGAAAATTGAAGTATAATTTGAAGTATATTTACATCAGGGTTCAAACTCCACGAACAGTATTTTATTACTATCTTGATTCCTAGGTGAACTAAATTTTTTTGCTCAAAATTCGTATTTTTAATCCATACAGCACTATAAGTAATGAAAACCGCCCAGGGGCCTATGAACTTCATCTCTCAGTTAAGGATTACTGCTTTGCCCGAGAAGATCGGATTATAGGAATGACAGTTATTCAGCTACAGAACATAGCAGAAAAGGGAAGTCATGGAGCATGGTATCCTCTTTTGAAAAATGTCTCTATGGATGAAACCGGTTTGACTATCCTTAGAATCCTCTCTCAGAGGACCAACGATGATGTGGCTAAAGAATTTGTAAGACTTAAATCCGAAACAAGATCTACTGAGGAGAATGCTTGAAATGAATACTGCAAAATACCTTTGAGAATTCATAAACTATAATTGTTGATTACTACATGCATGCGCAAATACATAGGAATGTTTATTTCACCGTGTTGCTGTGTTTGCCAGTACTCAAGTACAATGTCTACAAAGTATGTGGAAAACCTGCCTAACTTTTATACAAAGTCTGGTCTTTGGGAAGTCAATGTTCCATGAAGTGCCAAAATAATGATGTAAAGCAAAATATCAAGAATATCTTTTAAAACATTGATTAAGTTTCATTACCCATTTCTCAACCATTGAACATACTAGAAAAATAATTTGTCTTTGGAGTTTGTCCACCAGTTGTCTTTGTTAAATTAGTTTATATTACCCATAGATCATAAAGCATTTGTTACACAAATTCTGTTTTATTTAGACTTACCTCATTGTAGATGTCTTAGAAATACCCTTTTCTAGTTACTTCTAGAAAGCGTTTGTAATTTTATAGTTGCAAATATATTGTGATGATTTTTGCATACAAATTAAAATAGAAGAGGTGGGAAATATTTTATGCTGAGTTTCCAACCTTTCCGATATATCACTGTGAAGAAATGTTACTAAAGCAAACTTATACAAAGCAATGCTAAATAGAGTTTGTTAACAATGTTTGATATATTGAGAAAACTTTGTTCTTCAAAACTGCCAAGGTCACATCACATTTGTAAAAAAAGTAAGTTGATGCATTTGCCATAAAGCATTATGTCTCGGCTTTACCAAATTTCATTCTTTAGAAAGCCATAGGGTTAATGGTTTGGAAATGG